TGTCCAGTCCTGTCGCTGTGTCCAGTCCAGTCGCCGCGTCTTGCTCCTGTCGCTCTCTCGCCCACCGCACCGTCCTGTGGCACCACCGTCTTGGCCACCCGTCGATCCCTCGCCTTCGTGGCATGCTCAGTCAGGGACTCGTCACAGGTTTCCCACGCACCTTCCCGTCGCTCCCTCTCTCGCTTGCCCCTCCTTGCTCTCCTTGCGTCGCTGGTCGCTTATGCGCCACTCCCCACTCCTCCTCCCTTCGTCCGGCCACCGCTCCCTTCGAGACTCTCCACTTGGACGTCTGGGGCCCTGCCCCGACGCAGGGGTCTGGGAGGGAGCGTTACTTTCTAGTGGTCGTCGACGAATTCTCCAGGTACACCACAGTGTTCCCTCTTGCGAAGAAGTCTGAGGTGACTGCTACGCTAATCAGGTGGCTTATAGCCACTGAGGGCACTCGTGGTCGTCGAGTCAGTTGTCTCCACTCCGACCGTGGGGGCGAGTTTCGCTCCGGCATTCTCGGCGGATTCTGCGGCGAACAGGGCATCACCCAATCCTGGACGCTGCCTGAGTCCCCACAGCAGAATGGGGTTGCTGAGCGCCGCATAGGCTTGGTCATGGACATCGCCCGCACGTCCATGATCCATGTCCGTGCGCCCCATTTTCTGTGGCCCCACACGGTTCGCTACGCCGCACACCAGCTGAACCTCCAGCCGCGTGTCTCGCGGCCCGAGGCTTCACCGACCAGTCTTTGGACTGGTTCCCCTGGTGTCGGGTCGGCCTTTCGAGTCTGGGGCTGCCTTGCGCTTGTTCGCGACACCTCCGCGGACAAGCTCTCGGCACGCGCCGTCTCCTGTGTCTTCCTTGGTTTCCCAGTGGACTCTGCCGACTGGTTCTTTTACCACCCTCCCCTCCACCAGTTCCTAGACTCCCGTGACGTCCGGTTTGACGAGTCCGTGTCCTACTACACCCGGTACCCCTGTCGAGGTCTCCCGGTACCCCCTCCCCCTCTTTTCCTCGCACCCTCTCCTCCTCCTGCTCCCGCTCCTCCGGTACCTCCGCCCCCCCCTGGTCCTGCCCCGCCTGGTATGTCCCACGCTACCCCTCTCCCCTCGGTCGTGCGTCAGGTAGTGTCTCCCTCCCCACAGTCCTCCTCACAGTCCCCTCAGCAGCCTTCGGCACTTCCGCGACAGGTTACTGTGGACTCTGCTGGTGTTGGAGCTGGAGGTGCAGCCGCTGGGGGTGCTCTCTCGCGGGGTACTGGAGCTGGAGGTGCTGGCGCAGGTGGCGCTAGCTCTGGGGGTGCTGGAGCTGGGGGTGCTGGCGCAGGTGGCGCTAGTTCTGGGGGTGCTGGAGTTGGAGGTGCTGGCACTGGCGGTGCTAGTTCTGGGGGTGCTGGAGTTGGAGGTCCTGGCACTGGCGGTGCTGGTCCTGGGGGTGCTGAGTCTGAGGAGGCTAGAGCTGGAGACCCTGGTTCTGCGGAGTCCACTCCGCCTCCCCACCGCCACGACACGCGTCTCCAGGCTGCCCGTCGGCGTGAGCATGAGGAGCAGGAGCGGTTGGAGAGGGAGCAGCAGGAGCTGCGGGTGCTGGACCTTCTGGAGCAGCAGCAGGAGCAGCAGCGGCAGCAGCAGCAGCCACAGCAGCAGCAACAGCCGCAGCCGCCGCCGCAGCTGCAGCAACAGCAGCAGCAGCCGCAGCCGTCGCCGCAGCCGCAGCAGCGGCAGCCGCAGCCGCCCCCGCAGCTTCCTCTAGAGCGGCAGTTGTTCCCACCTGTGAGTGGCCTGCGGGCCCTTGGCCTATCCTCCTCTCCTTTTGTCTGCTCCCCGTCTCCTCCTGTGTTTGTTCCTCCGTTGCCTCCTCCTGACGACCGTCCGGCGATCTGGTCTTCTCCTCCTCCTCAGTCTCCTCCTCCTTCTGTCCGTCGCGACTTGATCACCCGTTGTCCTCCGCGTGCTCGTCACTCGTCCCCTGTTACTGACCTCCACACTGCCCTCCTTAGTTCGTCTCGTCGTCGTTCTCCTTCTCATGTGTCCGTTCTCCCATCTCCTCCTCCGTCCTCTGTCACAGAGCCCCCCACTCCTATCTCTGACTACTACCGCGAGTTTCGTCTTGTTGCCGCACGTGTCCTCGCCACTCTTGTCACCGACTCTCGTTTCCCTCCGTCGTCTGCCTCGGCTCTCACCGCCGATGTCGCTGAGTTTGCTGCCGCCAGTCGCCTTGACTACGCCACCCGTGTGGTGCCAGTTCCTCCCTACCGTCCTCTGTCCGTCGGGGGTGGGTTTGCCCTTGGGTGTGACGTCCTACAGGACAGAGAGTCTGAGTTGGAGTACTGGGCAGCCGCTTCTCCCTCTGTGTGTGCCATGCTGCTCTCCCCTGAGGGAGACCCCGACGCCCTTGACATACCGACTCCTCGCACTTATCGCGAGGCAGTGTCAGGGGCGTGGGCCTCTCAGTGGAAAGCGGCTATGGACTCAGAGTTGGCATCTTGGAGGTCCACAGGCACCTACGTCGACGCAGTTCCCCCTCCCAGGGCGAACGTAGTCGATGGCATGTGGCTCTTCAAGGTGAAGCGGCCGCCTGGAGCACCGCCGGTGTTCAAGGCGCGCTACGTGGCTAGGGGCTTCAGTCAGCGTGAGGGAGTTGACTTCTTCCAGACCTTCGCCCCGACACCGAAGATGTTTACTCTTCGGGTGTTACTCCACATAGCAGCGCAGCGAGACTACGAGCTGCACTCCCTTGACTTCTCCACTGCGTTCCTCCAGGGCCGATTGCACGAGGAGACCTGGCTGCGCCGTCCTCTTGGCTTCACTGATACCTTCCCACCTAAGACCCAGTGGAGCCTGAGTCGACCAGTCTACGGTCTCCGACAGTTGCCCCGTGAGTGGCACGACACTCTTCGCTCCACGCTTCGTGACCTTGGGATCAGCCCGTCCTCCGCCGACCCGTCGCTGTTTGTTCGAGCGGGTTCTACTCCTTTCTTTATCCTTGTCTACGTCGACGACTTGGTGTTTGCCACAGCAGACAGGGCAGCCTTGGCTCAGGTGAAGTTCGAACTGCAGAAGAGACACAAGTGCACTGACCTGGGTGAGCTGCAGCGTTATCTTGGCTTGCAGATCACCCGGGACAGAGCCGCTCGCACCATCACACTGACGCAGTCACACATGGTGCAGCAGGTCCTTCGGCGGTTCGACTTCCAGTTCTCCACCACACAGCCCACTCCTCTTGCTGTTGACCACAGACTCGCGGGCCCCTTTCCTGACGAGCCCTTTGAGTCCAGTGGACCCTACGCAGAGCTGGTGGGCTGCCTCATTTACCTGATGACTTGTACTCGATCGGACCTCGCCTTTCCCCTCAGCATCCTTTCTCGCTTTGTTGCGACTGGGAGACACCGCCCTGTCCACTGGACAGCTGCTGTGAGGGTGGCGAAGTACCTGGCGACTACATCAGGCATGGGGCTTGTGCTTGGAGGGACTCAGCCTGTGGTGTTGACTGGTCACTGTGACTCTTCCTACGCTGACGACGTGGAGACTCAGCGCTCGACTCAGGGTTACTGCTTCAGTCTGGGAGTTGGTGTTGTGTCGTGGAGGTCTACACGGTCGTCGTCTGTGGCTACTTCCAGTGCAGAGGCAGAGATCTACGCGGGTGCCATGGCAGCACAGGAGCTTCGCTGGTTGACCTTCTTGCTCGCAGACCTTGGTGAGCGGCCTCGCTCTGCACCGACCTTGTACGCTGACAACAAGGCCATGATTCTCCTGTGTTGAGAGCCTCGACTGAAGAGCAGAGTGAAGCATATTGACGTGAGGTACTTCCTCCTGCGAGAGCTGCAGCGACGCGGTCAGGCACGCCTGGACTTTGTGGCCTCAGAGGCCAACACTGCAGACGTCTTCACCAAGGCCTTGGCGCTTGGTGATCACCACAGGTTGTGTGTGCAGTTGGGGCTTGTTGAGGTAGGCCCTCGGTTGCTGTAGTCCTTCTGCTTGCTCTGCTCGTTGTGCTTTGTATTTATATCCTAGTAAACTCTTGAACTGGCCGTGTGGCCGCTTGCTTGCGCTCGGAATTTGTGTGGTGTCCTTGAGATCCACCCTGAGCTTGCCTTGTTTCTTGCTTTGACTGGTCTTGTGACCGTTCGTTCACCTTGCTTGCTTTGGTGCCCCTCACTTTGCCTATGGGGGTGTGTCAAATGTTGCACATTGATGTGATAGGCTGTAGTGAGTTGCACTCTAGGGGGTACAGCTTCTAGGGTTGCTTATTTGTACCCCATTCGTTTCTATTCCTACCATTTCCGTTGCATTCCTATTCTGAGAGGTACCTACTCTGGTATTCTTGTGCGAAATCTGCACTAACAGCCGCGATGAGCGCTGCAAGTACAGTTTGCAGTCAAGCTGAAACAAGGACAGCAGTCAAGCTGAAACAGTGACAGCAGTGTCGCGCGGCGCAATCACCACCTCGTTGTAGGCTGATCCATCAGCTTCCGTAATGATGTCAACTCTTTGTAATCAGACTTTTATACTCTTGAACTCTGAAATTTCAGAGTTTTTTTTTTTGTACCAAGTCTGATTAATCAGACTAAAAATGTGTACTAAGTCTGACGAATCAGACAGCCCCAAAACGAATCTGAGGGTCTGGTCCACGACTCTACTTAATCTGCAAGTCTGGTGCCGGGATGTACTTAGGGCGTGTTCCTACGGCCCCTTATCAGGGCAACCTCTTATCAAGCTCGCTACTTTTCACCCTGAAAATTCCCTAAACCCGAAAACCCTCGCTACTTTTACCAGGCAAGGATGACAAGAGGTTTGCCTGATAAGAGCGTAGGAACACGCCCTTAGTCTAGTGTCTTGTGTTTTTATTACCCTAGAAAGGGAGAACTTGTTAACTGAAGCTGGCCAGATTGTTGCTACCGTATGTTTATTTCTAATTGATTATTTAGATCCTACCCTAGTCTAAAGGCTACCAATGAAGACATACTACCCTCAAACAGCCAAGCATCTAGATAATGCTCATAGCTACAATGGCTAAATCTTGCCCTTCATCTTAGAACCATGGTGGATGCTGCTGCTGCCGGTGCGCGTTGGTAGATCCTCAGGTCCAGAATCCCCACTTCGGATGTCTCTGCTAGCAACTCCAATATCACAGCCGTTCACCATTGTACCAAACTTGAGTGACCCCAAGGTCTCATCAGTTGAAGAGCTGTCTGGTGATATGTTGAGGAACATGACGGTCCTTGACTGCTTCTCAATTGATTTCTGCTGAGTCAATAATCCGCATCAGGAGCCAAGGCTGGAACATCACATGGTATGGAGTACAAACATTCAAGCTAATACGTACCTGGAGTAGGTAGGTCAATTTCCCGTCACGGTACCGTGGTAGTTCCCCCTTAGCTCTTGCCTCTAGAACGTGGGACAAGCAGCTTAAACTCTTGTTGATGTTCTGAAGGTGGGTGTGGCATTTGGCAGAAAAATCATTGTGTGACCGTGTGCGTGAGATGAATGTAAACACAAATGAAAACAGTACTTACAATGGACTCCGTCCTTGTCGCTCCTGTTGCGTTCGACCTCTTGAGTCTTTCGCTTCCTGCCAGATCAATCAAGTTGAGGATGCCGTGTGTTGTTTCGCCAGTGTCCTGACAGGGACGAGACGGATTAATAGTGAGAGCTGTCACAAGTTTTGCCCAAACAGCTGCAAGACTTGAGTTACGTTTAACACTCACCTTATTCCTGCCGTTCAGCCTGAGGGTGAAAACGGCATGACTTCGTGACGACTCCTCGTTCATGTCTGTCCTTCCAACAGCCCTGCAAGTAAACATGATCAAACTTAGTACCTCTTGCTTGAACACAAGTGCAAAATCCACAAGTAAGCTGTCATCATCCGTACCTCTTTTTGTGTGCATAAGCGAAAACCGCAGCTGCATCCTCTACAGACTGCACAGTGACAACTCTGAGGCCAAGCACTGTAGTGCTGCCATCCTTTTCGTGAATGATGTTGTACAGAGAAAGCTCCGCCTTCTTTGCTGCCGCACTTCCCTTCTCAGGCTTCGAGCTTGTAGCCTCGTCATCGTCGTTGTATCCCTTCAGCAGGTCGCGGATGGCCTCGTTGTGGATCTCGAGAAGGGAAGCCTGCAGGACACCAAAAAGCGATTGCTGCAGGTTGCACAGAACCACCAACAACAATAGATGCATGAACGCACCTGAACGGTGTAATTCCATCCCGTGCTGGCCTTTTCACGGATGGCTTGAAAAATCTGCTGCATGGAACGTGGAATCACTCCACGGAGAGTCTCGTCGGTGCTGTCCCCGAACATGGTAAAAGTCTTTCCAGACCCGGTCTGGCCATACGCGAAAATACACACCTGAAAAGAAAACCGTGAAAAAACTGGGCCAGGAGGTTGTTGATTAACGGATTAATCGAATTCCCTCTTCTTACCTTATAGCCATCCAATGCGCTAATAACGAGGTCTGCAATCTCTTTAAAGATAAGTGTCTGAGTCGTATCAGGCGAAAAAACCTTGTCGAACTTAAAATCTCCTTCATGCCCTGATCACCCATGAAAACAAATATGTCAGAAGGGACTTTTGTGACGACAGTTGTGCCAAAGAATAAAGTAGCTCACCTTTAACAGCGATCTTGTTGTCAATGTTGTTCTTAGGAATCAGTACAGCCATGGCATCAAGATTCATTTTTCCTTCCTTCGCACTGAGGGGGCGAACACGGCAAAACACCCTAATGTTCCCTTGCGATAACTGCAGGCACAGAGAAAGTCAAGTGAGCCTCAGCTGGATGGAAGAAAAGCTCTTGAGAACAACGAGAGCCAAACCATGAGCCGGTCGCGGATATCCTTCATGCTCTTTTCCATCTTCTGCAGCTGGAGCTTCAACCGTGTATTTTCTGCCTTAAGATCGCACTCAGTTTGCGATAGAACCTGAAGAAGACGAGAGAAATATAATCAGACCGTGACTGACTTTTCGCATGCTATGCTTCAGATGAAGAGAAACCAAACCTTCAGATTCGTTAGCTCGGATGCCTTCTGATCGAGTTTGAGTCTACTCGACAGTTGAGCGATCACAATCTGACACGAGACACGCACACATGAGAAACCTTACGTGATCTACTAAAAAAATGAAGCGAAAGTACAAGTTGAGTGTCGACAGCCTTTCCGCGTTCCTCAAGAGACTTCTGGAGCTTGTCAATCTGAGAGTCGTGAGCACAGACGTGGTAGTTAGTGCGCGTGTTTTAACCCAGAACGAATGCTGTAGAAAGGAGCTCTGTCAGATACCTGATCCTCCATCTGCGCGTTGGCTGCCGACGTTTCGGCCACCTCCTCAGTTCTGACCTGGAGAAGCCTCTCAGTTTCCACAAGCTTTGACTTAACCTGCAAAGCAATTAAGGCATGAGTTAGAGAGAGGTCGAAGAGCTTAGAATGTAAAAAACGTCCCACACCACACGTACCTCTTCGGAATCCTGCAGAGAAGCCTCCGAGGTACCCAAGGAATTTTCGAGCTCCATAATGCGAGCACGAAGCATGGCATTTTCGTTAGCCTTTTCATCTCGGTCAGTGCGTAAGGCAAGAAGTTCTTGCGCCGTCTGATCAACGTCCTGCAAGAACAGTTTAAGAAAATGTGTGTGTTAGACGCACTCAAGAAAACTCTGACAAAGAAATGATTTGCTACCTCGCTGGAAAAATCGAGCTTTCTCTTTTTCTCCAGTTCATTCCCCAACTTGTACTCCTCATCCTGCGGGTCAACATCCTTGATACGGTCAGTCCTGCTGGATGAAGTCAGATCTAACCTTCTAAAAAAAGGACTAGAACGTATAGAAGTCAACTTATCAAGAGGCAAACGGGCTGGTCTTTGGGAGGCACTCATAGTTGCACTCCGATGGGAATTTTCGTGCACTGATCGCTGAGGGTGATGGGAATTTCCGATAGCATTTGTAGGGTTGGGACCGAAGCAAAGCGCAACAGTTAGAAAGTGGGTCATCAGTGAGCATCTGACGACCCGCACGCACCGCCAAAATGTGAGGATCCTGCTTTGACGTAGATATCGATTTCGACATACACCCGAGGCTAGGTCTGTAAAAGTTTTACGTAACAGCATTTATATATTATTGTTACGAGTGCAATTGAGTGAACGAACGAGAATTGCACTATCAAAGCAAGAATACAATGAGCGAAGGCATGAGCGAAGAATATATAGCGAAACTACAGTGGTAACGGTAATGGACTGTGGTTGTCGCGCGACGAGCCTGGGACTGAGGTTTGGAAAATGTCGAAGTGGAGGCCCGGAGCGCGGGTTACCAGCCGAGCCGTGAGGTCGGGGTGCGATGTGCGAAAATGGCGGGGTGATTGTCGATGCGAGGATCGCGAGTGGTAACGGTGCTGACCGAGGCGCTACAGTGATGTACGCGTTGAGCAGGGATGCGAAGTAAGGAAAGTGATTTTCCTTACACTACCCCCCCTCCTAAGGAGGTCCTCCTTACGAAAGAGCGTGGACGTCCCTGAAGTTTCGGCTGCGCAGATACACGGTGAGAACAGGGTGGTTGTCGATTCTGTCCAGGGGAACCCAGTTGTCCTCGGTGGGTGTACGGTCTTTCCAGCGGATCAGGAACTCGATCTTTCGGGCTCCTCGAGGGTCGCGAACTCCGTGGCTCAGGATTTTGTCGGGGGTGATGATTGGTTCGGTTGGCGGTCGTGCCATGCTGGCTGGGCGATTACGTGGGAGTTGGCTTGTGGATGGTACGTAAGGGCGAAGCAGGCTGACGTCGAACGAGGGGCTGGCGTACCAGTCAGCAGGGAAGAGGAGGTGTGCGGTGACAGGTGTTATCATATGGCTAATTCGAAATGGCCCACAGTATCGAGGGCGGAGTTTCGGGGTGATGGGCAGGCGGAGGTTTTGAGTGTCGAGTAAAACGAGGTCGTCGGGTGTCAACGGGAGTTGGGTATTGGCCCCGTCCTCGCTTGGGCGGAGCCGACTTCGTGGTCGGGTGTGAGGGGAGCAGCCGACCTGCAGCAGTGGGTGAGCTGGTCGACGGGGAGTACGACCTGCACGGGGGACCACTACATGGGCGCCAGCTTTAGGATGGCGCCGACTTCGGGGAGGTCGACTTGGGAGTCGACCTGTGAAGGACGTCAACTTGGTGACGTCAACTTGGGGAAGCCGACTTCGGTGGTCGGCTAACGAACTGCTAGTCGACATGTTAGTGGTCGACTGGACCTGGTGGTCGACGAAGGAGGGGCCGACGTCGACCTCGACTCAGGACGCTGAACAATTGGGCGTCGAGTAGCGGGGCGTCAATTTCGTGACGCCAGCTTCGGGTGGCCGACGTGGGTGGTCGGCCAACGACTGTGCTGGTCGACGTGAAGCTGTTCGACCAGAGGGGACGTTGACCTGGAGAAGGTCGACCGATGGTGTCGTCGACCTGGTGAGGTCGACGTGGAGGTGGTCGTCGACCTGGGAGGTCGACGGGCACGTATGGGATCTGCTGGTCGACGTGGTTGCCTGGTCGACCAGATTACCTGGGTGACGAAGTGCTGCGGAGGAGCGCGACGGTCGCCCAGGCGAGGTTGGCGAGCCCGACCTCGGTGGTGGTATCCCGAGGTCGTTGTGGCGGATCAGAGGCAGTCGTCAGCTCAAGGTTGACGTGGTGTGTGCGCCGTGCAGGTGACGAGACCTTGCGCGCCAATCATCTGCGCACAACTACGAAGCAGGGTGCACTGCTGTCCTGCGTGAGCAACGCTGTCAACCTTGCCTTGCTGGAGCGCGGTCGACCGAGTCGTGCTGGAACGCGGTCGACCACGCTGCGCTGGCAGTTGGCCGACCTGAATGCTTGCTCTGATGTAGTCTTGCTATGCCAACTTCATTGTACCAATTATTATGAACCTTTTCCTAGTGGAACTCTTGCCAATTTTCCCCGTGAACTAGCAAGTAGTGTGCACACAAGGAAAACGACTAAGGAACAGAGAACGCAGAGATCACACGAGCACACGTGCCTAGCCCGTAGCCTAGCTCCCGTTGCTGCAGTTATCTCCGCATGGTGCGGTGAGCGTGGACGACATTGCGACGTAGCTCAGTCTAGCCGACGTAGCGCATCCCGATCGTGTTCGTAGACCGGCAGCCGTGCAGTCACTAGCGTGCGCGTAGGCGACGCCGAGGTGATGGATACCCTGAAGGGACGGCTGGAGGATGCGAGGAGACGCCATGAGGCCCAGGAGTATGGGGCGATACCCTGGGCAGTCGTCGAAGTCGGACTCCGCTCCGTGTGGGCGGCGGAGCACCCCCCTTCTCGACCTGCCTCTCCTCGACCGGTGAACAACGACGGCGGCGTCGACGTGGGTGTCAACGCCGGAGAAGGTCAGGTCGGCAGCAGTGCGGGAGGCACGTCGAGGCAGAGAGGTGTGATACACGCCGGTGAAGTCAGCGGCGTTCAGGCGCGAGGGATGCAGTCGTCGGCGGCTGCAGGCTCCTCGCATGGCGACGCTGGTGGGCGTCGAAGTGGGCTGTCGCCTATGTCGGCGTCCCAGGTGACGGCAGGTGGGATTGCACCGAGCTACGGCTACTTCAAGTTTACGCCGGACAGGATCTCGGTCACCCCTCCGCTGGTCGGTCGACCCGACATTCTCACCTGGAAGGAAGCCATCGAGCCCCAGCTGGAGATGGCCGGGCTGATCGGCTTCGCCCGAGGGACCGTGGCGACGCCGGGGGAGCACCACCCCGACCTGCGTGCGGAGTTTCGCGCCGTGCAGCTGTTGACCTTCACGGTCATCTCGCGGTGCTGCTCGCCGGGCGTGCAGATCGCCTTGAAGTGGTGCCGGGAGTACCTCGACGCCGGCCACCGGGCGTGGCACTTCATTGAGTCGATGTACTAGGTCACCGACGACCTGTTCATCGCCCAGCTGGAGGGACAACTGACGCACCTGCGTATGGGTGACGAGGAGAGTGCGACCGACTACTGCAACCGAGCCAGGCGAATTCTCGCCACCATCAGGATGGCCGGCGCGCAGTACTCCACGGCGTCGTACATCACCCATGTCATGCAGGGTCTCTCTAGCAGCTACAACCTGCTGAAGCGGCTGTCTATGGCGCCGAGCACAAGGGCGACGCTCAACGAGGACAACCTGACCTCGTATATCCTGCAGGACGAGGCGATGCAGGAGGCTGAGCGGTCGCAGGAGCTCTTGGCGCAGGCGAACTTGGTCACCTCAGCGAAGCAAGGAGGCCGACTAGGACAGCGCGGGCAGTCTGGCGGTGGTGGTAGCAGTGGCTGGAAGCCGGCCAAGGAGGTCGACAAGAGAAAGTCGACCAAGGACGGCGGTCGAGGAGGAGGAGGTCGACGTCGGGAGTGCTGGATCTGCCACAGCCCCGATCACCTCTCCTTCGAGTGTCCCGACCGCAGCGACTCTGACGACGACGATGCAAAGGGAGGCCGTGGGAGGTCTGGCAGCCGTCGTCCTCGTCGTGGAGGAAACCAGCCGCGCAAGGAGAAGCAGTCGACCAAGACATCGACTTCGGCGAAGGACGCCGACTCCGTTGCAGGCGGCAAGGGGCGAGACGACAAGACGGCGTCGTGCTCGCTGGTCGGCGTCGTGGAGCCGACCATCTCTCTGGCGCCGGAGGCCGGAGAGGACTTCCAGGCGGTGGCTGCAGCTGTGCAGGCGAACCCGGCGGTGGTCCTGCTCGACAGTGGTTGCTCCCACCACCTGATGGGGACGAAGGAAGCCTTCGTCGACTTGCAGCCGAGCGGCGCCATCAGGCATGTGCGCGGCTTCAATGGGGCACTGCAGGATGTCCAGGGCTGCGGCACCATCGCCCTGCAAGGAGAGGCCGGGAAGGAGGTGCTCATCCCCGACGTGTTGTACGTCCCGGGTGTGCGAGCCAACCTGCTGTCGGCCGGCCAGCTGAAGGAGCATGGCGTGAAGCTGCAGGAGGACGGAGACGGCATGCTGCTCGTCTCGGCAGCAGGGGAGGTGCTCGGGCGGGCGACGTACTCTGGGCGAGTCCTCTGCACTGACCTGCGTCCCTGCGCGACGAGGTCGACGCCGCCCATGACGGAGGTGGTGGCTCTGCGGGCGATCGTCCCGAAGGCGAAGTCGACGCCGGACCGGATGCATGCGAGACTTGCGCACGTCGGCATGGACACCATACGGAGCTCGGCGAAGAACGAGGTCGCCATTGGGCTGGACCTCAAGTCGGCGATGGACGCCGACTCCCCGTGTGTCTCGTGCGTTGGTGGGAAACAGGCGCGGCACACCTTCCCCGACCAAGGCTCCGACGGCGACGACGTATTGGCCGTCGTGCACATCGACCTGTGCGGGCCGTTTCGCGTGGCTGCCAAGGATGGCAGCCTGTACTTCTTGCTGCTGAAGGACCGCAAGACCCGCTACGTGTGGGTGAAGCCGGTCGCCAAGAAGTCCGATGCGTTGCAGGCGTTCGTACAGTGGCTGGCGGTGGCTGAGCGGCAGACGAAGAAGTCGGTGCTGATGCTGCGCTCTGACCGGGGAGGGGAGTTCCTCGGGAAGCAGTTCACCGACTTCGTGAACGATAAGGGGATCGTTCACGACCTGACCTGCCCATATACCCCGCAGCAGAACGGCATGGCGGAGCGGGAGATGAGGACGGTGGTGGAGTCAGTACGGACAATGCTACTGCACATGGGTGTGCAGCACCACTGGTGGCACCTTGCTCTGCGGCAGGCTGTCTGGGTCCGCAACTGCCTTGAGAGGTCGACGCTGCCGCCAGGGACGACGTCGTACCAGCTGCTGACAGGGAAGAAGCCCGACTTGTCGCTGGCGCGGGTGTGGGGCTGCATGGCGCAGTTCCTTGTCCCGGAGCCGCAGCGTGGTGGGAAGCTGCAGCCGAAGGCCAGGTGG